TCACTATAGGGAGGTAGCTGGTTGGTTCTTGCACCGGGCATTAAACCAGGAAGTCGCTGGTTTGAATACCAGCACGCGTGACACCTTTTTGCGTTTTAAAAAGATAAAAGGTAGATGTGCCGGCCCAGTGCGGAGGGGGGGTATACGCTCGTTGGCAAACTCAACTGTAGCGGGAGCCTTAACCGATGTATAGGATTTGGGGAGCTCGTATGCAGCGCTTCAAGCGCCTGTTTGTGGAAGAAGCGCTCATGTAGCCAAAAAATTGGGCCGGCCCAATGCTGCATCGCTCGCTCGACACTTCCTTCCTTCACTCATTCTGTGGACTGGTCGCGGTTGACCGGTCAATCATTGACTTTTGAAAAAAAAATCATGAATTCAAAAAAGTTCATGGATTCTGAAAAAGTTCACAAACTTTAAAAATGTTTATCAATTTTTAAAAAAGTACATCAAATTTGAAACAAGCTCATCAATTCTGACAAAAAAGTTCATCAATTTTGAAAAAAAAAATACACATTTGAGAAAAAAGATCATCATAATTGAAGAATCGTTCATCAATTATTTAAAAATATTCATCGAATTGGGCGCTGCGCAAGGGATGTGCCACCTGCAGCAGCCGCTTGATGGGCCGGCCCACGATCGCCCAAGGTGCAACGCGAAAAAAGAACGACAGAAAATACATCGCAACTGGTATTCGATCCCGCGCCCTAGCGCTTCCACACGGAGAGGCCACCCACTGGACCAGCTAACTGCTTCCATACGCGAAATTTCTTGCACATTACACTCTAGCATTTATATTTTCTAATTATTTGAAAACATGTCACATATTATAGATAAAGTTCATGGGCATGCAAAAAAAGTTCACCAAATCGAAAAAGTTCATGTATTAAAAAGAGTTTACAAATTCAGAAGAAGTTCATTGATTTTCAAAATAGTTCATCGTGTTTGAAAAAGTTCATTGAATTTGGAAAAGTTCATCTTAATTGGAAAAAGTTCATTGATTTTGAAAAAAGTTCATCTATTTTGAAATAAAATTTATCGATTTTCAAAAAAAGTTCATCAATTTTGAAAAAAGTTCATTGATTTTGAAAAAAAGTTCACTGATTTTGGAAAAGTTCATCGACTTTGAAAAAAAGTTCATCAATTTTCAAAAAAAATCATCGATTTTGAGAAAAAGTTCAAATTTTTTAAAAGGTTCGTCAAATTTGAAAAATAAAATTCCTCGATTTTGAAAAAGGTCGTAAAATTCAGATCATGGATTCAGAAAGAAGTTCATCTATTTGAAGAAAACAGTTACAAATTTGGAAAAAGAAAGTAGAAAAGGGTAGAGAGAGAAAAAAGGAAAAAAGAGAAATAAGAAATAGTTGAAAAGCATGTATCACAGCTCCTGCGGTGGTTGAGTTGGTTCGCATCTACTCCCTCCGTCCGGAAATACTTGTCATCAAAATGAATAAAAAGGGATATATATAGATGTATTTTAGTTCTAGATACATCTTTTTTTATCCATTTTGATGACAAGTATTTTCGAACGGAGGGAGTATATGATGACCCGAGACGCGGGTTCGAGCCACGGATGGCGCGCCCTTTTTTGCAGTCAATCTCTTGTGTTTAGAAAACAGGGGAAGAAGACACAATATGTGCTGGCCCACGGTAGCTGCTGCAGGCGCCGATTAGCGAAAACAGTACAAACCGGGGCCTGCAGCGCCGAATAGGAAATGCCATCCATATCCCATACTCGCGCCAATCCATGGCAGCCGCACAACTTGTGTGTTGTCATCACCGTGATACGGTCACCGCCGCTGTAGGGCCAAGAGTCGGTGTCCTAAATGTCGGGTGATTATCGCTATCCAACGGACCAGATCAGATCGGGTCGGTCGCTACCATTTACGAGCAGGCGTCGTGCAAGTAGCAAACGCCATAGTTATCCCATCGGGTTTTCTTAACACAGTACAGATGCGGGGTTCATATCATCTTGAGATTGACGAAGTTACCACACGCACCTCGTAGTCGACGTGAACGTCTCCTCCCACTGAACGCGCATCGCCGACAATTCTAAAATAAATTCATGAATAATGCATGCACAAGGACTTGAACCCTAATGGACTAGGATACCACTGTCCCCCTAAGCATCCAACCACACATTGGTTCGCTCGTCATCCCATCGTTGTTGCATAGCCAATGGTGATGGCCAGTTGGCTATAGCTACCATAAAGTGTTGCCGTGAGCCATCCCGTGGCTGCTGCCCCGACATCTAGCCTCACGTGCCGCCATACCAAGAGAAGCTATCGTTGCACACCTACGGAGATCGCCATCAGCAGATAAGGGCATCTACAATGGTTGATAAGATAGTTTTATCTTAAGTCTTGCATGTAAATTAGAGATGACAAAAAAAATATCTACAATGGATCATCCCTTAGCCTTACCTTCAATAACTAGTTATTCCTAAAAATGTGGTGAGACATATTGTGCTAAGAGATCATATCTTGTATTCTCTTAAATAAGAGATAACGAGTCTTTTCTTATGAGTTCTCTCTCCTCCACTTCATCATTTATCCTATGAGACACTCCTAATATACCATCATTTTACATGCTCTAATGCAGTGAAACATGAAATGTGCACTGGATTGGCTAAGCAATACTTGAGCTGGCTAGTCAATTGATATCAGTTGACTACATAGATTTTTCCAAAAACAACATACAACCAGCACAAAATGCGCCAAAAGTCTTATAAATGCATCAATCTGACTAAACAACACTTAGTTGACCATACATGATTAGATTTCTGGCACCGCCACTGACGCCGCCCACCCCAAAAGACAAAGGAGGAAGGACTTCTCCTTGACTTCCCTTCGTGGGCAAGCCCACTGTAGAGCCGCACTGCCTCGTCCACGACCACAACCATTACGTCTCATGTCACCTACATGTGATTTTTGAAAACCATAAATATTAAATTTTTAAAAATGTGCAAGCTTCTTGAAATATGTCAATATATGTTCTTTATAGTCATGAGTATTTGAAAATCTATTGTGCCCGTACTAAATCAACGACAACTACTCCCTTCGATTCTAAATATAAATTTTTTTAAAGATTTTAATATGGACTACATACGGATGTATATAGACATATTCTAGAGTCTAGATTCACTTATTTTGTTTCGTATGTAGTCTGCATTGAAATCTTTAAAAATACTTATATTTAGAATGAAGGGGATATCTTCTTTTAGAAAAAGGTCCATTTTACTATCCTGAAAAACTTGGTGGTTCACATAACCCCCTGATTTTTTTTTTCTCCTTTACCCCCCTCAACAATCTCATACTGGTCAAAATATGTCCTTGGCTAGTTTGCTGCAATCAGATGCTGAGGTGGACAAAGTCAAAGCGGTATTTGACCAGGGCCCACCCGTTAAAAAAAATCCACCTGTTAATTAAACTCCGTCTCTCTCTCTCTCCGCCGGCGCCACTCGTCGTGCACGCAGCGAACAGAACACCGCGACCCCGCTTCATCCCGAGCCCGCATCGCCGTGCAACGATCTCCATTGCTCGTCGTGCCCCAAAAAGCTTTGGAACGAATAGCCAAGGAGGAGCTCAAGCCACTGCCGGGCCATGCCGCCGGGATCCACCTGCACCCATCCCCGCCATCCTCTCTTCCTTCTCCCCTCTTCCTCCTCTCTACCTGGTCTCTCTTTTCTTCTTGACCCCGCACCCTCTCGTTCCTGACTTCCCGTGCAGCCGCCATGGAATCCTTCGCACCGACGCCGGGAAAGACCGCATCGGAGCTCCACGACGCCAGGTCCTCGCGGCGCCCTGCTACGTCCCCGCGTCCTGATCCACGCCCCTGCGCTGCCCCTCGCCGGGATCTGGCGGGATCTAGCGAGTCCCGGAGCCGCCGTCCCGCATCGCACCGCAGCGGCCGGCTTCCCGCACGACCCGCTCGAGTTCCAGCACGCGTTGACCCCGTCCCCAGCCCCTCCCCAACCCATTCTACCACACAGGCATGCTAGCCATGAGCCCCTGATGCTGATGCACCTCCCCCTCTTCCCTGTGCCTTTAGTGCCCTGCCACCTAGCTTCCGACCGACGGCGCCGCCGCTGGCCTGGGCCATGCCGGAGACACCGGTTGCCCCCCTGGCTGGTTTAAGTTAATTGCTGACTAGGCTGACTTTTAACAGGTGGGCCCCTCTCTCACTGGTCAAATACTGCTTTGACCTTGTCCACGTCAGCGTTTGGTCGCGACATACCAGCCGAGGACATTTTTTGACTGGTATGGGATTGTTGAGGGGGATAAATGAGCAGAAAAAAAATCAGGGGGTTATGTGAACCAGCAAGTTTTTTCAGGGTAGTAAAATAGACAATTTTCCTTTTTTTTACTTGTCAGCACAACTTCATCGGCTGGTTCTCACGCTTATGTGTATAATTGTGTCGGAATTTTCACAAGAAAAATTAGTTTTGTCGGAATGTTTGAATTAAGTTGTTATGTTGACACGTTAAACCTTGTAAAATTTGGTTGCTGACATATTTTCATATATAAGGAACGCAGAGGGACAAATTATAAAGTTTGCACTTAAAAACTTGGACACTTCTAGGAAGCCTTGCTGCCTGTGAGGTGCTCATCAATCTTAACATGGTCTTCATATAAAAATCATGTTTCAGTTGTAGCAATAATCTTGCTGCACGATTAGAGTGTAAATGCAAGATACAAAATCCACGTTTGATTTCCGGCTCAGCTTCGCCGGTGAAACTGTAACATTCCTTGTCGTCAGACCACGGGCGTTTCAGTGCTACAATCCACAATACAACACGATGGACTCTGAACTTCGAGCTGAATTCAAAACAAAACGCGACGGTTTCAGAGAGGGAAGGAGCGGTAGCATCTCGGTTTCAGGCGGATTAGCATTGAAATCACAGGAAGTAATAAGAACAAGATTGCAAGCTGTAACCCATTCCAACCAGATCCACCACCAACATCGATGACACACCAAACCAAAACATTCAAAACTGATCTAATCTAGAACTCCTGGGAAGCAGAGCCGATGTCGCCCTTGCCCTTGCCGGCCTTCTTGGGGAGCAGCGTGGTGTGGATGCTGGGCAGCACCTTGCCGGCGGCGATGGTGACCGAACCCAGCAGCCGGCTCAGCTCCTCGTCGTTGCGCGCGGCCAGCTGGTTGTGGCGCGGCACGATCCGGTTCTTCTTGTTGTCCTGCGCTGCGTTTCCGGCGAGCTCCAGGGTCTGAATCAGAGGGAGAGCAAGAAACGATGAGATCGAGGACCACGAGGACCCGTGCATGGGGAACAGAGCAACTATTGTAGCTAGATAATTTTTTTATTCTATCTTTGATCTTAATTTCTAGACAAGCACAACAACCTCACTTTACTAGGGGAGTGGATGTACAATCCCACTAAGACTCATATAGTTCATTTAATAAAACATGTACCAAGCTAAGTCAATAACTATCTCCGGGTGCTACACCTACATACCATCCACCTTGTCGTTGAGTTGTGATCTCATTTATTTCTTCCTACCGCCTATCGCGCGCGTGTATATGCCTATATATATCGCTCACATCTGACAATGTTTCTACAAGCATCGCATCACCAGCACGGATAGTGGTAGACATGACATCCCCCCCACCCCCACCCCCCACCCCCCTCATTATTTGTTGAATTCATGTTCTGAGGAAATATGCAACACGTGTTGTACGATGTACACATTAGATGTGGGAGGTGTTAGGAAAAGATCAGCTTGTAGGTAGTTGAATCCTAGCGATGCATTTAGTCTGCACCATCAGTATTTAATGAGGCCATGTACATCGACAATGCTGCAGGGGCGAAAGGCAAATACAACATCTTGAGGGGGCCAAACACTATACTTTTTCTAATGAGGCACTTTTAAATATATTTTTCTTCAGAGATTTTGTCAAGGTTGGGGGGTGCCATGGCCCCTGTAGAAGTACATATAGCTCCGCCAGTGGCACAGACAAAAAGTTTGAAGTTGATCCCGAAGCCGCCGTTCTAGACTCTAGAGATTGCAACTGTGATATCTATGCAATTCAAGAACTATATCACCCAATCCTTAATATAACAACTTTCACATGTGTGTAAACATATTCTTTTAGAAACTCATAAATATTAATTCAATATAAATAAATTTTATTGCATGTATATCTTTTTGGATTTTTATTCTTTTCATTAATGAATGTTTGTTTTGAAATAAATTGATATTTGTAACATATTATTCAAAATAGTAAACATGAAGAAATCTTGTCAATCGACGGCCAAATATTAAACGGTAGATATATATTTTTCCCTAACTTTAAAAATATTAGTTATGAATTTATTTTTTGACAATGCAAGATAAGCGCTCCGTCAATTTTTCATTAAGACAAGGAAAAAAGGAACTACTGAGACTACATGATGGTTGTCATAGCCAACCTATGCTGCTCAAGGTCCACTTTTACAAGAAACACACCATCAATCACGATGAGGAGGGAGGAGTTCTGAAAAATATGACGCTAACACATAGTACTCCCTCCATTTCTTTTTTAGCCTGCATATAAAATTTGGTCAAAGTCAACCTCTATAAAGTTTGATTAACTATATATTAAACAATATCAATATTCACAATATGAAATCCGTATTATTATATGCATTATGAAATGAATTTTCATACTATACAATTTTAGTATTGTAAATGTTGATACTTTTAATATAAATTTGTTCAAACTTTGCATAATTCGACTTCAAACAAATCCTATATGTTGATTAAAAAGAAACGGAGGGAGTACATGAGAATCTTGCTAAAAGTTGCACTTTATTGAGTCAAGGAGTTGAATGTGCCGGTTCCACCATTCCTGTAGGGAGTTGGTGAAAACTGACGTTCAATTTGTAATGAACGAAAGCTAGTCCGCAACTATGCCCCAAACGCCTCAAATAAAACGGCATCCACACACAAGGTGCGCGTAAGCTTCAAAGTTTGTGAGGCACAGGCTACACACCTCCTCAAGAGGCCAACCCTGGACATTGTGACGATCCATGGTAAGGGCTTTTCGATGTAGAAGGGGCCAAATAAAGAGCTTGCACTAGGGTTCGGCGCTTACCTCCCACGTCTTCTTTACCTCCACTTGGGTTCAGCTACCTTCTGGAAGAGTACATGGATTGGAGGGCCATCGTTGCGCACGGCCTCCCCGATACTCTTCAGTCACGCGTGGCGTGAAAGCAGAATTGTGGCCGAGGCCTTGAATAATGATCAGTGGGTTCTTGATCTTCAACATGGAAACGCAACGGAAATCGTTGCCGACATTCTGAGATTGCGGCGCTTGTTGCACAATACGGACATACATATCAACAAAAATGAGAGCGACAAAATCAGATTGATAGAGGGAAAGGAGGGTTGTTACTCTGCAAGCTCTGCCTACAAAATGCAGCTTCAGCAGACAATGCCGACCAGCTTTAAACCTCTGATCTGGAAGGTCTTGGCCCCTGGAAAAGTGAAGATGTTTATGTGGTTGTTGCACAACAACTAACTTTGGTGTAATGATCAGTTGCAGAGGAGAGGATGGCCCAATGGGTATTTTTGCCCGCTTTGTCTTTGAAACTTGGAAACTTCCATGCATCTCATATGGAGCTGCCCATCCTCTCGAGAGATTTGGCATGAGGTTGCAACCTTGACGGGATGTTGTGCTATGGCTCTGAGGGACAGACTGAATTTATCATCTTCAATAAAAGCAAGCCATCGTTCGTACAGCGGCGGCCGAGCACATGAGAGGCATAGAGGTCATGATCATGATGATTGCATCGGAACTTTGGAAGGGAAGGAATGCAAGTGTTTTTAGAGCCAAGTTTCCTAGTGTCATATATGCAACATGGAGCAATGCTGGAGCCAAAGGCATAGAGGGCCCGCTTGGGGAGAAGACTATGAGATGGCAAGCTAGGCATATTGTTTTCGCTCTCTTCTTTTCTTTGGCTATGTTTGGATCTATGGCTTAGAGTTAGTTTGAGCTAGTTTGGACTCAAATACCCTAAAGTATCCAAACAAGAGGCTAGTTTGAGCTAGCTGCTTCTAACCCATCAAAAAACTATCCCATCCAAGAGGTGCTAATTGGAGCTAGTTCTCCCAATGCATTTATTATCAATCTAACCCTGTCATCTAAACATCTCTTTGAGGTGAGTTAGTTCAGGATTAATCATGAGCTAGAAACTAACTCTAACCTCTATCTAAGTTAGAGTATCCAAACACGGTTAGTTCAGGGTTTCTCTCTGTATTAGTACCACCATGGTCATTTGATCACCCTGTTTCCACATGCTTTCCACTAAATCAATGAAGCTAGTGATAACTGAAACTATTAAAAAGACGGGGAAACCAATCCTTCGAATTCCAACCTATAATCAAACCAGCCTATTTATTTATGAAATTATGTAAGTGGTTTTCATAATATTTTACTGAAAACTTGTGTGATGTACAATCTCTACCTAATAATAAGAGTGAATTCCACTTTTTACCCCATATTTATACATTTGTGACATTAATTACCCCTTCGAGTGAAAATTCGTCTACAATACCCTTTTAAAATCTTTGGACCCTTGTTTTTTGATGCGTGTCCATCAGGTAAGGTGTGAGGTGACGCCCTGTATCCAAAAACATGTGGACGGCCACAAGGAATGGAACAGATAGACAAGAGAAGCTTGGACAAGATCGCCAATGATGCCCTCCGATCCTTACAATTTTTTTTACGAAGATCGCCAATGATGCCCTCCGATCCTTACAGTTTTTTTTACGAATCAATGACGCAACATGCCGATCCTATCGACCATAAACAAACAAAATGTAAAACTGGAGTAAAACCGTGTTAAAAGTCTTCAAAATCTGACATTTCGATAAAAGTTTCACTAAATAGGGTAATATGTGTCACAAATGTACAACTACAAGGTAAAAAATGGAATTCACTTCTTTCTTCTTTCTCTTCTTCTATCTCTCTATCTCTAATCTTTCCCTACTAATAAAGCACGGAGTGCTTCTGCCCGTACGTCGTCGTCACTTTTGCGCAAAAGCCCCTCTATTTTCAAGAATTCAACCCGTAGTCCCTTTTTAAGTTGCTATCTCAGAAAACGTTTCGTTATTACAAAAAGAACCCTGCCGTTTTGAGAATTCAACCCGCGGTCCCCCTGGAAAGAAAAAAAACCTAGCCACACGAACGACCCATGAACCCCAATCTCATCCACCTCCAGCGCCGCCACGCCCTGCAACGCCGCCGCGCGCCGCCGAACTCCGCCCCGTCGTCGCCCCGCCGAAATCCGCCGGAACTCGACCCGCCGTCGCGCCGCCGCTCAAGCCCAGCTTCTGGATCGGGTCAACGCGGTGGCTCGAGCGGCTGGGGGCGGCGCGGTGGCTCGAGCGAACCAGACCGCTCTGCCTCCCGCAGCTCCATCCTGCCCGAGCTCCCCTCGCCCCCGCAAGCCGCCTCGCCGGCGACCCCACACCTCCGCCGCGCCTCACCGCCGGAGCTCCGGCCGCTCCGCCGCCTCGCCCCTCTCCTCCTTCCTCTCGATCTCCTCTCACCTCTTTCTCTCTTTCTCGCTGAACAGGGACCTCCAGAAGGGCCATGGCGCCACCAGCCCTTAATCTCGCCGGATCCGGCCGCCTGCACGCCAAATCCGCCGGAAATGGATCCGTCCCGTCCAGATCCGGCCGGATCCGACCGGGCCCCGCCATCCTCGTCACTGGAGCACCGCCCCGCTCGACCAACAGCGTCGGCGCTGTCTGTCCCTGCCCGCGTCTGCACGAGGACGACGCTCGTCCCGCTCGCTTGCAGCAATCGCATGGGCCGCCGCCCCAGCCGTCCCGGCATCAAGCCAAGGCCCAGCCCAAGCCACATCTTCTGCCGCTCCATCATTGCCCACCTTGAGATCAGCCCCGACGCCACCACCATCTTCAGATGCGTACGCACACTACTTCCTTCTTCAAATTGCTTCACCACATCATGCTGAATTTGCAAATGGCCGCTCCTTACATGTGTGATCGAGAAGCAAGGTCAAGTATGAGCAGGCTGTCAGCGTGTAGTGGTCGGAGATGCCGTCGCAACTTACATGTCGCAGTCG